TCTTCTATGAACTGTTTGATCAGAATGCTCCGTAATAGATGCCAGGCACCAACTAGTTCTTCTGGTCTCGTGTCTCAGGAAGCAATTGTACATGAAGGCAAATCAGCCACACAGTCTGTTTCCTTCTCTGGTTCCAGAGTCTCCTTCAGAAGGGACTTTTATTATCCCCCATTTCATAGAGGGGAAACTGAGGTCCAGAGTCAGGAAGGGAACCCTGACTCCCAATCCCATGGAGCTGGGGTGCAGTGGTGGGGGAATGGGACTGCAGACTTTTGACCCCTGAAATGAGGGACCCTCCCTCCAGGTGGTGACCTCAGCCAAGGATGTGGTTGCCAGTAGCGTGACAGGCGTGGTGGGTCTAGCACAGCGGAGCCGGCGCTGGAGTGTTGAGCTGAAACGTTCCATGAGCCACGCCGTGGATGTCGTGCTGGGCAAGTCGGAAGAACTCGTGGATCACTTCCTGCCCATGACAGAGGATGAACTCGGTGAGGTGCCCCGAGCCCTCCTACCTAAGTCCCTGTCTCCACGTTACCTACCGATCAGAGAGGTTCAGGACTCACCCAGGGCCACACTGCAAATTAGCAGAAAGTCAGAGCTCAAACCAATGGTCCCCCTTGCCTACATCCCACCAGAAATCAGACCAATGGTTGGCGGTTTGAGCCCACCCAACACCTCCTTAGGAGAAAGACCTGGTGTTCTGCTTCTACCAACATGACAGTCTGGGACACCCTGTGGGGCAGTTCTGCTCTGTCACATGGGGACGAGATAAGTTAAAAATTGATTTGATGGCGCCCAACAACACAACAGCAATGTTTTACATTTTTTTCAAATTCATTTCCCACTGGTCTTTGCATTAGTCTCCTAACCTAATGGTTGGTGATTCAAACCCACCAAGCGACACCTACTGCCTGCTAACCGAATGGTCAGCGGTTCCAACTACCAGCCACTGCTTGGAAACCCTATACAGGGTCACTGTGAGTCAGAACTGACTTGACCGCACTTAATAACAGCTCAGCAGCAAAGCAGAAGAGAGGCTTGGTGATTTGCTTCCCAAAGATCACAAACATCGTGAGCCCTCTGGAGTAGTTCTACACGGTAACACAAGGGGATCGACATGAGTCAGAATTGAATCAATGGGTTTGGTGTTTTGGTTAAAGATTTTGTACTATTAATTCCTATTTCTGGCATCTCTTGAAAAAAATAGATATTTGGGCCAAAGAACATCCACCCCTTTACATGAATTCTCTAGACCCCCAGTGTTCAATATTTCATATGCCTCACTCATTTTTGGTATCTGCCTGACCCCGGAGACAATTTGATTTTTGAATCCTTGCTTTATAGAATGTGCCAGCTTACCTGTTCCTCGGAAGCAAGGCATTTATTAAGCACCTACCATGTACCCAACCCAGTTCAGTTGATGTCAAGTCAAATCCAACTCATGGTGATCCTCTGTGTGTCAGAGTAGAATTGTGCTCTGTAGGGCTTTCAATGGTTAATTTTTCTGAAGTAGCCAGGCCTTTCTTCTGAAGCATCTCTGGGTGGACCCAAACCTCTAACCTTTCAGTTAACAGTGAACACATTGGCACCCCTGAAGGACACCTGTGCATCAGGCACTTGTAATATAATCTTTATGAGGCAGTTTAATGAGGTGGTTAAGAATAGTCTAGAGATTGAATGTTGTTGTTATTAGGTGCTGTGGAGTTGATTCTGACCCATAGTGACCTCACGTACAACGGAACGAAACACTGCTCGATCTTGCATCATCCTCAGAATAATCTGAGTCCACTGCTGCTGCCACTGTATCAATCCAGCTTGTTGAGGGTCCTCCTCGTTTTTGATGACCAGGATGCCTGGGTTTATATCCCAACTTTTGCTTACTATATGACTTTGCCTCTCTTTAGCTCAGTTTCCTCCTCATCTGTTTAACAATAGGAGTTTTCAAAGAGCATCTACATTGTATGATTGGGAGAAGATGAAATGAGTTGGTATCTATGAAGGGAAATTATAAAATTGGGAGCCTGTGAGTTCATCGACTCAGAAGGTGGGTATACCACACTGACCCCCTCCTTGGTCCGGTTCCCCAGCGGCGTTGGCAGCTGAGGCCGATTCCCCCGATGTGGCCTCGGTAGAGGATCAGAGAAAACATCAGGGCTACTTTGTACGTCTGGGCTCCCTGTCAGCGCGACTCCGCCACCTAGCATATGAGCATTCTCTGGGAAAACTGAAACAGAGCAAACATCGGGCTCAGGACACTCTGGCTGAGCTTCAGGAGACACTGGAACTGGTGAGAGCCCTTTGCCTGCCCCACAGTGCAGGCCAGTAAGTATGGATTGAGCACCAGCCGAGTACCTGGTCTGAAGGGGGCGGCAGAGCCAAGCTCAGCTGCTTCTAGCCCTATATGATCAGGGCTGGGGTAGAGGGTCTGCCCAGAGTTGGGGGTCCCTGGGAACAGCCAAGGCTCTGCCTGGCGAGTCAGGGAGGGTTTCAGTGGAGGAGGGGATGTGGGAGCTGGAATATATTACCAGCACCCTTCTCATCACCAGTACCAGCTCCCACCTACCATCTTCCTCAACTGTCCCTCTCGCTGACCTTTAAAAGAAAGCAGACAGCACTTGTTTAATGAGCCTCCAAACTTACTCCTTGAGCACTTACCTCCCGCATCTCTGCTGAGAGCAACTCCCCACTCCCAAGCACACAAACTAAAGCCTGGAGGTCTCCCTTGACTCCCCTGTCTCCTTCCCTTCCATGTCCAACACGTCAACCTATACTGTCAGCTCTGCCCTCAGATTTTACCCAGAACCCTCCCACTTCTACTCGTCCTCTGCATCTTCCGTGGTCAGCCCCAGCAGCAGCCCCCTTGGACCGGTACAGACTGGCCTCTGGCTCCACCCTCAACTCTGCAGACTGTTCTCATTACAGCCGGCAGAGGGCGCCCGTGAGCACTTGAGTCAGCCTGTTGTTCTTGTACCCACAGTCCTTTTTTTTTTTTTAAGTAAAAGCCTGTATCCTTCCCATCACGCCTACAGGGCCCTCCACGCCCTGTGCCATTCCCTCCCCCTCACTCACTCCACTCCATCCACACAGTCCTCTACTCTTCCTCCAACTCCCCAGGCCTGGTCCTGCCTCAGGACCTTTGCCCAGACGGTTCCTTCAGCCCGGATACTTGCTTTTCCTTCTTAGCACATCTCCCTTCTGAAATTCATGGCATCATTTACTCATTCATTGAGTTGCTCTCCTGAGTCATTCAACAAACATTAAGCACCTATGGTGTGTCCTGGTGTGGCGCTATGGGTTAATGTACTGGACTGCAAAATCGATTTGAATTACAAGGTCAACAGTTCAAGCTCATCAACTGTTCTTTGGAAACCCTATACAGGGTTGCTATGCGTCAGAACTGACTCGACGGCACTTAACAACAACAACAACTGTATGTCTTGGTGTGGTTCTGCACGTTAACGTGCTGGACTGCAAAGTCAGTTTGAACCACAAGGTTGGCAGTTCAAGCTCACCAGCCGCTCCTCAGAAACCCTATACAAGATCGCTGTGAGTCGGAACTGACTCCATGGCACTAAACAACAACTGTGTGCAAGCCCTTTCCAGCCACTGACTAAATTCATTGCTGTTCCTCACCCCACCCCTAGCACCAGGGAAAGACCTACCACACAGTAACTGCTCAGTAAATGTGCTTGAATTATATTCAGTATATAATTCACAAGCAGTGATGTAGTGGATTCTTGGACCACCTCTGCTTCCTAAGACCCATTTTTTTACAGATGGGGAAACTGAGACTCAGGTAATTCCAGCTCCTTCAGAGAGGACTCATTTAGTTGATCGGAACAGGCCCTGAGTAAGGGGGATCAGTACAATGATGGGGACACACCAGGTGCTGGGGGTCCCAGAGGAGGGGCGGGAAGGAGAGGTTCTTGGAGAAGGTGGTGATTAGAAGCAGTTGAATTGGGGTGAACTGGCAGGGGGATGGGTAGATGGGAGCATATGCCTGTCTGAGGGACTAACATCCACGGACAAAGGCCAAGCCATGAGACTGAGTTTTAGAGCACTTTAGGTCCCTGGATCTGGCTGAGGGCAGAGCAGAGAGAAGACAGCTAAGCTGTCTGAGCCCGGATCAGTGAACGTGGAATGGTGTACACCGAAATGCTCCCTACATGCTGACTGAAGCCGGGTCCAGGTAGGCTCTACTCAACCCATGTCCCCATTCTCTTGTCTGACAACCACTGTCCTGCCCCCGCAGATCGACTTCATGCAGGGTGGGGCCAGCCCTGTTGTCCCCACCCGCCCAGGAAAGGTGCACCAGCTATGGGGAGATTGGAACCAGTGCGCCACTAAGAATGGCCGCAGCCGGAGCCAGGTGAGATGTGGACAGGTAGAAACTGAGCTAGCGTGATCTCCATTCGTTGAGTGGACATGGGGAAACTGAGGCAGGACTTGGATCCCATTGACTGTCCATGGGATAAACTGAAGCAAGATGATGTCTCCATCCCGTGTCCAAAATGGTAACTGAAGCAGAGTGACAACCGTGTGGGGGGCCCATAGAGAAACTGAGACAGGGCAGTAGTCTGAACCATTGGGTATGAATAGGGAAAACGGAGGCAGGGCTCAGTTCCGTTTCCTGTCTGTGGGGGTAACTGAGGCATGCAGTGATGTGGTTGTCTTTCCGCTGGGGAAACTGAGGCAAGGATCTGTTTCCACCCCTGCCCCACAGGCAGAGCTGGAGACGTTGGCACTGTCACGCAGCCTAACGTGGGAGCTGAAGAGCACTGTGGATGCGTTACAGACCAGTGTGCGGGGCCTGCCCCCCAGCGCCCAGGAGAAGGTGGCCGAGGTGCGGCGTAGCGTGGACGCACTGCAGTCCGCCTTCGCCGACGCCCGCTGCTTCCAGGACGTGCCAGCAGCTGCGCTGGCAGAAGGCCGGGGCCGCGTGGCACGGGCCCACGCCTGCGTGGACGAGTTACTGGAGCTGGTGCTGCAAACTGTACCACTGCCCTGGCTCGTGGGGCCCTTTGCGCCGATCCTAGTGGAGCGGTCAGAGCCCGTACCCGACCTTACTGCCCTGGTAGACGAGGTCGTCGGGGGTCCCGACCCCCGCTGGGCGCACCTGGACTGGCCTGCCCAGCAGAGAGCCTGGCAGGCCCAGCATGGTGACGGCCCGGGCCTCCAGGTGGACGTTCTTGAGGAGGAACCCGAGCCCCCCAGCCGCCCGGTCAAGCACACTCTGATGCCAGAGCTGGACTTCTGACCGGACGCACGCTAATGGGGAAAGGGAGTCTCCAGCCTCCCTGCTCCCTCCTCCGGGATCGCTGCTGCCCCCTTGTGGCCGCGCATGAGCACTGGCGGCCTTGACTTTGGACAGGAGTTACCCGGTAGGGGCCCGAATTCAGAATATTAGACCAGCTTCAATGAACCCTGGCATCACCCAGCTTCAATGCAATGGTGATGCACAGGACTGCAAACTAAAGGCTAGCGATCTGAGCCCTCCCAGCGTCTCCATTGGGAGGAAGACCTGACGATCTGCTTTCTTGAAGACAGCAACCTAGAAAATCCTATGGGAGCAGTTCTTCTGTGTCACAAGGGGTCTCCATGAGTTGAAAATGACTTGGTGGCACATAATAACAGACCAGCATTACTGATATCTGCCCCTCCCAAATCACTTCCTTGGATAGATGGAGACGCTGAGGTCCAGAGAGAAGCAAGGACTTGAATCCAGAGCTGAGTTCTTCATTCATCTTTGACCCTGTTCCCCAGCCCAGACACTGCTCAAAAAGCTCTCTGAGAACATACATTTAACCCACATTTGGGGGCTTTGCAAAGGGAGACCCTCTCTCTCCCCCGTTTGTGCATCCTGGACTCGGGGTCCCCAGACACGGAGGCAGCACAAGCTCAGTCGGCCAGGTCCACATGCATTGCCGTTTGGGGTTTGCTCTCCAGAATAAAGGTACTTGGAGTTATTCACAGACCTGTGGACTCTGTTCTGAAAGCTGGAGGGGGGCCACAGAGTGCTTGAAGGGGTGGCATTTTAAGCCGGGGTTCACAGTGTACAAGGACTCCTTCCTGGAATTCCAACATCAGTGCCCCAATTACCTGGGTTAAGCATTATCTTCTCAGATCCAGTTCATTGAAGGGGTAGTGGTTCTCACTTTAGTATGAATTTTTTTCCCCTTGAAAACTGCAGAGAGTTGGGGGGTGGCGCTGGGAGAAGTCAGACAGGGCAATCCATCCCCTGTCCACCTCCCTGGATCTGCAAGAGCTCTGCTTTCCTTCACTGCACTAGTCGGGGCTGGGGAGACTGAGGCAGGGCAAGGGCCACACATGCCATGTTCAGTCTCGTGGAGGCCTTCCTGCCCTCTGACTGCATTCTTGGCATCCTCAACCTCCCCTGTGACTGGGCAGGGTGTTGAGGAATCAGTCTGATGAGGGGAAGGTCAAGGGTGGCCTCTGGCTTCCTGGGACCTGGTCCAGAAGGCAGCTCTGGGCACCCCCACCACTTCCTCGCTGGTCCCTGCTCAGGAATCTCCACAGCTCCCTGTTTTCCTCAAACCGATGTCCTAGTGCCTCACCTTGGCATTTGAGGCCTTCTGACGCCATCCTCCAACCTACCCAGAAACTTTGTTTTGTCTTCATTGAACTGTGTAAGGTTCTTCATCTCTGGGCCTTTACCTTGGATGTGCCTGCCGTCTTACCTGTCTCCCAGCCCCAATGTCTCCTCCTCCAGGAAGCCTTCCCTGACTCCACTTCACCATGATAGCTCCCGCCTCCAGCCTACCACAGCTCACCTTCTCGGAGCCTGGAGCCCTTTCTGGCTTACAGCAACCTGCACTTAGTTCTCTTTTCTCCCATGAGGCTGTGGGCTCCCAGAGGGCTGGGTCTGGCAAGGGTGGCAGGAACCTCACATGAGATGATATAGGGGTATCTTGATGGTGGGACCAGCCCAGGCAGTGGGGAGATCAGCATGCCTAGAACAGAGATAGGGAAAAGGAATGGACTAAATCTTGGGGTTTGGGGGAGAGTGAAGGTTAAGGTACTGGGTTGACCCTCATCCTTGCCTTCAAGTGGCTTCCACTTCCCCTTTCTGAACCTCAGTTTTCTACTCTGTAAAATGGGAGTGTAAATATGAAGGTAGTTATATGCAATCCTAGTAAAGGCTTCACCCATAGAAAGTGATGACTCATTTGTTCTGTCTTTCATTTAACAAACATTTGATGTCCACTAGTCATGGACCAGAAATGGCTCTCAGGCCTGGAGATGCAGCTGTGAGCAAAACAGATAAAGATCTTGCCCGCTACAAATTAACAATGAAGTAGAAGGGATTGACAACTAGTAAGAATAATAAATGAATTATATAGTGTGTGTTCGAAAATTAAAATGGTAGTGGATAGGGTCACGTAGTGGTTATGAATCGGGCTGCGAACTGCAAGGTCAGCAGTTGGAAACTACCAGCTGTTCCACGGGAGAAAGATGAGGCTTTCTGCTCCCGTAAAGATGTACAGCCTCAGAAACCCTGTACAGGGTCACTATGAGTCGGAGCCAACTCCACGGCACATAACTAACCAACCAACCAACCAACGAAGGGTCTGAAAAGAGTGTATATTTTTAAATAGGGACATCCAGGAAGGTGACATGTGAGCAGAAACCCTTGAAGGAGGTGAAGGACTTGAACAAAAAGTATTCCAAGCAGAAGGAACAGCACATGCAAAGGCCCTGAGGCAGGATGGGGACTGGAGAGTTGGAGAAACAGAGAGGAGGCCCATGTGGCTGGAACAGAGTGAGGGAGGGAAAGAAAGGAGGAGGGGAAGGCACAGTGAGGTCTGGATCTGATGTGCGGGACCCTATGGAGTACAGGGAAGGCTAGGGCTTTGACCTAAGGGAGATAAAAGACCTGGAGGGCTTTAGGCAGAGGAGGGAAGGACCTGATTCTTATTTATTATTTTCCCTCCTGGCTTCTTCCCCCAAGCTAGGCTGTGGAAGGACACACCCCAGCTTTCTCCATCTCTCCTGGGAAGTATTGCTGGGAGGAGAGGTTGGGGACATTCCCCTTCTGTTCCCTGGCTAGTTAGTAAACACAGGACCAGCTCCAAGGAGATGATCCAGAGGTCATCAGGCCCAGCGGCTGGACCCTCTTCCTCCCAATTCAGTACCCACAACCATGGTCAAATCTGTCTCCCCCAACACCTCACACTAGAATCCCAGGGGCAGGCAAAGGGGAAACTGAGGCCAGAGTGGGGTGAGGGGTGGCGAGCGACTATATCTCTACTTGCCCACTCACAGCTTCTTGGCACACTGCTTTGGGTCTGGGTACAAGTCTTATCCCTGGTATTTCCTGATGGTTCGTTTTCTACTGGGTTGAGTTCAGATCTTATCGCCAAGCTGCCTCCTCCAGGAAACCTCCCTTCCCACCAGGCCCAGATCGTTCTCCAGCATGCCCCTAACTTTGTCAATGCTCCTTCTAGGTTCTGGGGTCCATGCTTTACCCTTTTCTCAAAAAAGTCCCTCCTGGAAGGTAACACACATCTCCCCTGTTGGGAACAGCCCCTCCCTCATCACAGAGATCCTGCCTCCGCATAAGCAATACTAGGCTGACATTTGTTGAGTAAGCAGGATACATGGGTGACCCCGTTTCACACTCACAATATCACCATGAATTGGCCAAACAATTGAGAAGTAAGCACCAGGGCTTTTTCTAGGCATTGGGACACAGCCGGGAATAAAACAGATCTGGAGGAGGGGAGAGAGGGGACCGTGGAGACATTGGGGGCAGGGGTGGAGAAGCAAAGGATGTTCCAGGCAGAGGGGACAATCCTTGCAAAGGTGTGTGTGGAATCAGTGAAGGGAAAACCCCTGGGGCTGGAGCTCAATGAATGAGGAGACAGTTGAAGGAGTTATGGGCAAAGAGATGCAGGAACAAGTCGGACCCTGTGGATCATGGGGAAGGAGTCTGGAAGAGGAAACTGAGGCAAGAAGACGGTAAGGGACCAAGGTATCCCAGTAGAGCGGGGATTTGAACTGTGACCACTTTGTGGATGGGAATCTGCAGCCATGCCTCAGGGACATGGGAGGGGGCAGCCCAGCTGGCTGTGAGTCACTGAGGCTGGTGGTTGGGGTGAGCGCCTGCAGGCAGGGCCGCCCATGCTGAGAGCAGGGGAAAGGTGCTGGGCTGGGGCCCGGGCTGGGTAGGCAGGCACGTGACTGCCCAGGCACCCCCCCCTCCACCCGCTGGCCGTCTGCCTCTGTGACCAGGCCTGCACCCGCCCCAGACCCTATAAGGCCTGGGAGCCGAGAGCAGAGCCAGCTGCCAGCCGGTACGTCCGCCATTCAGAGGGACCCTCCCGCAACCCAGGTGAGCAGGGCCATTTCTGTCCCAGCCGGGTGGCAGCAGAAGCTGGGTGTGTGGGGTGAAGTGGGGGGCCTGGGAGCCCCCTATTCACACACTTTCTCTGCCCAGCTCCAGCTACTTTCAGCGCCACCATGTCTGCTCAAGACGAAGGGAGCCGGGACCCCCCCAAGCCCAAGGGAAAGGTAAAGGGAGGGTCCCCTGCAGTTTCATGACTCCACCCCACAGCTCTGGGAGGTGACCCCACAGTTTTCTGAGAGCCACAATACTGACTCTTCACGTCTATCCCAAACTGGGGGAGGGGGCAACAAGGGCTCACCCAGACCTCAGGCGCCTCCCTGAGCCTCAGTTTCCCCATCTGTGAAATGGGGGCCATGGAAGAAAAATGTCTTGGAGACCTGGAGATTGGTCAATCGTCTCGTCTCCTCTGTCCTTAGGAGGTGGGATGTGTCTGCCCATTACCCAGATGGGGAGACTGAGGCTCAGAGTCAGGAAGTATGAGTGGTATTTGAACCCAGGCCTGTCTGTCCAATGCCTTCCATGCCCCCCTCCCATCCCTTCCCTTGCTGCATCTTGGTCCTGTTCACATTGTCCCTCCATGATGTCCCCCTCTTCCCAGACCCTGAGCAGCTTCCTAGGGTCTCTTCCCGGCTTCAACTCTGCCCGGAACCTACTGGCCCACACCCACAGCTCCACGAGAGGGGCTCGGCCGGCTGCGGACTCCACAGGCACCCCTACCCCTGAGGCAGCCCAGCCCCAGGTTCAGGGTGAGTGAACAACCCTGTGGGGGCGGGGTCTGAGGGTGGACCCCAGGAAAAGGAAGACCTCCAGTGGAGGCTTGCAACCAAAATGTAAGATGGCAATGCCAATTCTGGAAGCATTTTCTGTGTCTCAGTAGATATCACCAGGCA